TGTATGCAAGTATAGCAATAGACATATCCCGTAGGCGAGGCTGTGGGTGTTACGATGGGTGTTACGCAGATGGGACATAACGTTGATGATGGTGGTAAGGGTACAGTGAGGATTGGGAGGAGAGTGGTTGACGATATCGGAGGGTCGATGCGTTGTGGTTGGTCCGACAAAGACGATGTCGGACGTGCCTTCTCGGAAGACTCTCCCTGTTTCGAAGATTGCTTCGCGGATGGCGGTAACGAAGGTAATATTGGCGGTGGTAGGTCGATGTTTTCAGCGGCTTTCCTCGATAGCTGTCGGGCGAAGTCTGAAGCATGCCACCATTCTAGGAACTTGAGCGCGAAGATACTGGTTGGAAGAAGAATCTTCAGCGAACTCAACAAGCGCGGCTCTATGCTCCTCGCAATGTTCCTTGGCGAGAAGATGGATCCGCCTTCTCCAGGCCGCGCCGGGCCAACCTTCCTCGGCGCCGTCGCAATCTCAATCGCCCTGTGATCCGCCTCTCCCAGTCTTCGTATACGCGAGCCGATCAGCCACATGAATGGCGAATGATACTTGGTCCCATCAAAGAGGTAGGCCATGTTGAAGGCCAGCAAGGAAAAGTAGTAAGCAGCATTTACACTCGGATATATGTTGCGTAGAAACCACTTGTAGTAGTGCATCAGCCTCTCCTTCACGCTGGCCCCTGCTCTTAATCCTTCTCTGTCACGGTTGTACCCGGGTCCCAAAAGGTTGGCATGCGCAGCGTGGACATCGTAGCCCTCGTCGAACTTCCTCTTCAGCCATGGGAGGCCGACCAGGACGGCGAGGTTCTTCCATATGTCGCCACTGCCCAGCTTTACAGCCTCGCGTACGCTGTCCGATGCGCCCAATTGTGCGCGCGGTATCTCACCTCCTCGCACTTTCAGCACCCGGGCGCGCTTCAGCCCGTAGAAGTTCTCGGTGAATGATCCGCCGTATGTGCGAAGGAAGTGGCGCTCCACGAGCAGCATAAGCAGCGCGTAGACTTCATCGAAGGAATTGAGTATGGGGAGCAGGTAGCGTGGATATCGGGGTGTTGTGATGGCGAGGAGGTAGCGCAGCGACGGGGGCAGGAGCGATGCGAGCTGTTGCTCGGAAAGGAGTTCGAAGAGCGAGGGCTTGAGGTCGTCTATGCCATGCTGGAGGGCGGGGAGGAACTCCATGTCGGCCTGTGAGAGGGACCGGGAGATCGGATGATCATGGGGTTGGGGTTGATGGGTGTTGTGGCATCGTCGGCTTCGCGACAGTTGATGCGGAAGGTACGCGCAGCCGAGGCAGGAGCGCTCGGGGCTAGCCGTCGCCTCCGCGTCCGCTCGACGCGTGCACTCCTTCCTACGTCACATGCTTCCCCAGGCGGCAACTGACACCACTGCGCTTCAGTCATAGCAGATGTAGCAGCAACACGCCCTCGTATACAACAATCTACTCCGCCACGATGTATTCAGACGACCCAAGATGTACCGAACTCGCGTATCCCGACCTGGTCAACTTTGGCGTCTCCGTGTAAGCCTGCCCTGTTCGTCGCATGTCAACACAGTTAATCACCGTCCCGTAGCTTCATAGTCCTCGGAATACTCGTATCATACCTTCCACAGCACTATAAGATCATATCGCGTCGGTCGTCGCGTGGTCTGAGCCCCATGTTTGTCCTTCTAGGGACTGTGTCGGGAACCGCTAGCATCGCGAACATCTTGACCCTGCCGGAAAGCACGAGGGATATGGGATGCTGTAAGGAGATTGGAAGCTTTCCATGCGCAGCAGCTATGCTCGGGATAGTACAGATCGGGGTGCAGTGGAGTTGTTTCTTCTTCATGTACGGTACTCTCAACCGTCCAGCATACTAGACACTAACAACTAACAGCATGCTACTCTTCCTCATCTTCTTCCCTCGAGGCAGCTCCCCAGCTGTAGAAGAGGAACAAGATACCGACATGCCCACGTGGAAAGAGGCCGTCCTCGTCCTGGGTGTTTCACTCGCCTTCTTCGTCGTCGCATTCATCGGCTCCGTCGTTTTCGTATACGCGCTCCCTTCACACGTTCGCGCATGGGCAAACTTCCTCGGCTTACTTGCTACCGTCCTTGCCGCTATACAATACATACCACAGATCCTCATGACTTGGAGACTACAGGAAATCGGAAGTCTATCCATCCCTATGATGTGCATTCAGACACCGGGGAGCTTCGTCTTTGCCGCAAGCCTATATGCGAGGCTAGGACCTGGAGGCTGGAGTGCTTGGGGCTTGTTCATCTTTACGGGCATCCTCCAAGGTTTCCTACTCGCTATGGGTTTGTCTTTCGTTCTGAGAGATAGAAAGAAGCAGAGAGACCAGCAGCTTGCTGATGCCGATGGCAGCGGCGTCGCTGGTGATAGCGAGCGAGCGCCATTGCTGCATGGTGAAAGATGACATCTTGATCCTTGATACCACTGATATCCAATCTCGCCTAATAATTCTAATATTTTCAAATTTCCTTCGATACAGACTTCTTACCGAGTACGCTTCCTTACATTTACTCTGTTCATGGGCTTGGAAGCGCCCAGAGACGGACCTTGACATCGAGGTACTCGCGCCCTTCGCGAGCTATATATGCTGGTGTCGCCTCACTCAAGTCAAGATAAGATACATCACATTCTTCGCAACTGTGGGATCCAACTCTGCCGCATGAACTCACCAAAAGCATTCCAGTCGCAGTTTTCTGTTATCATGGATCATAGTCCCGGATTCATATTCAGTTCGCCGCTCGGACACGCCAACAAGCAATACCCAGGAACCATGACACGGAACGTACTCATCAGTGAAGCTTGCATCGCTTTCAATCGGTCAACCAGAGACCGTTCGGATATATCGACTTCTCTGGTCACCTTGCGATAGAAGAGACAGGATTCGTGACGATGGTAACCTTCCCGCCAAGCCAGTCTATCGCCCTTTGGGCAGGTATCAATGTCTGCCCCTTGGCAACTTGGCAAAGACCGATCTACTCTCTTGTGACCTTCTTTTCCGGACACAGCACCTGCAAGACGATGATAAGAGTGGGCCAGGCACGGTGTTCCGCGCTCAAACAAGCTGCATTTACCCAGGAGGCCGGAATGTCCAGTGGCGGGAAACATGCGTATATGAGTTCGGCGCCGCCACCTAAACATGGGCGACGTTACTCCCACGCTCGTCACATCTGGATCCTGGAGAAGCTAGCCGATTAAAGTGACAACATGAAGGTTTCCAGTGCTATCGTCCTTGCGGGCGCTGCGCAAGCATTCGCTGCTGTGCGACCCCGGCCTATGGTCTCATCTGGACCAATTCAGGCTGAGATCAAGACTGAGAAGTACGGACGTCTATTCGTTGATTCGATGACACACTGACTTTTGTAGGTTGATGGGTAACCTCAAAGCTTTTGACTCTATCGCAAAAGCAAATGGCGGCAACCGTGCTTTCGGTCTTCCGGGCTACGCTGCATCTGTTGACTACATGCTCGCCAAAACCCAGAACACACACTTCAAGACATGGACTCAGGATTTCCCGGCTCTTTTCAACAAGATTGAGTCCATTGAATTCAGTGTGAGCAACAGCTCTTACCGTGTCATTGGATTGTCCTACTCGCCATCGACGACTCCGGAAGGATTGACGCTGCCGCTTGTACTGGGTGCCTCTGGGCCCGAAGGTTGCACAAACGAAGCCTACGACAACTTGGATGTTGAGGGCAAGATCGTTTTGGTGCAAAGAGGTGCCTGCCCTGATGGTACTACCCTCGCTGGGCGCATGAAGCCCGCTGCTGCCGCTGGTGCTTCTGCAGTAATCATCTACGCAAGCGACACCGCGAATGTTACCGGTGGCACGTTGTCCAACCCTAACCCCGAATACGTTTCAACCGGCTACATTAACCTTGCCGACGCTGAACCTCTCGTCGCACGCCTCGAGGCCGGCGAAGCTATCGAAGCGTACTTCCAGCAAACCCAAACCGTAGAAACACGCATCACACAGAACGTCTTCACCGAGACTAAAGACGGTGACCCAACTAACGTCATTATGCTCGGTGCGCATCTTGACAGTGTACAAGCCGGCGCTGGTATCAACGACGACGGCTCAGGCAGCACACTCATTCTCGAGATTGCCAAGGCTCTCAGAAGATTCAACGTCAAGAACAAGGTCCGATTCGCATGGTGGGGCGCGGAGGAGAACGGTCTTCTTGGATCCAAGTACTACACACAGAACTTGAACGCCACAGAAGCGAACAACATCCTCACATACCTCAACTTCGACATGGTTTCCCGCGGTTACTTTGGTGTCTTCGACGGTGATGGCAGCACTTTCAACCTCACGGGTGCGCCGGGATCAGCAGCCATCGAGAAGCTCTTCGTTGAGCATTTCCAGAAGGAAGGCGTAAACGTGACAGCCGCACGCTTCACCGGTGGAAGTGACTACCAATCTTTCATGAACATTGGCAAGCCCGTTGGAGGTCTCCACACCGGAACTGGTGTCGAGCAAGATCCTTGCTACCACCAAGCTTGCGACACCATTGACAACCCCAACCCGGAGACACTTTTCATCAACGCCAAGGTAAGCACCAAGAAACCAGATTACACAGTGAGAACATCTGCTAACGACGACAGGCTGCTGCACACGTACTTTCTATCCTTGCAACTAGGGGTGAGCAAATTATTCCCAAGAGCCCGGTGAACGCTAGCATGATCACTGAGCGTGGTATCATCGGTGTTGAGCCGAGATGGACGCTACCTGCGGAAGGAGAAATGCACCTTTCTACGTGCGGACATGAGGTCTAATCGTCTATATCGAAAGACGCGTATATAGCAAGGGTCACAGTCAAGGCCACAAAAAGATCATGAAATGAACTGAATGAACATCAATCGTGCCACTCATTAGGTTCCTAGATACTCCTTTTCCCGCTTGCTTTAAACTCATAGTTGTGACGAACGAGATGCTATCGTGTTATGCTGTATCCCGGCTCTTTCCCCCAAAGCCACATATTCACGCTTTCTTCCCACCCACTTTCGCAAACATCCTAGACATGAGACTCACTTTATTCCGCTCGTGATGGTTCAAGTGCTTCGCCTCATCAACACAGAAATTCAGGGCAATCGCTCTCTTCGCTACAGAGGTAGCTTCGACAAGGAGATGCTGACCCTTTATCGCGGGTGGTTGACTTTCTGGCAGTGTCTCGTAGCGTGTGGAGCTAACGGAGCAAGCTGTGTCGTGGGTCATCCGTAACCGGCGTTCGGTGACTTTCGCACTTTTCCTGTGATTTCTGTGCCGTGCGACAGGTATGGACTTCTCGGTGGGTACGACGGCGCCACATCGTGCGTGCTTGTATGCGGTAGGTAGCTCTATTTTCGGTGGGTCTTGAGACTTCGAGTCTGGCCTTGTTGCGTTCGAATGACTGCACACTGCACGGCTAATGGATGACTTGCGTTCTGCAACCAGCTCATACAGGGCTCTTGAACTTTCATGCGATCGTTCTTTCCTCTTCTTTGATTGCTCTACTTTTGGCGAAGGAACCTGGAATGTGAGTTCATGCGTGATCTCGGAAGGCGCGTTTACTCTGGGCTCGGGGTCGGATGATACGAAGTCTTTGCTGGTCCGTGTCTTTGATCCGACTGTTTCCAAAAACCTTGCGCTGTCGCTGCGGTGTAGATGAGGTGCTGAAGGGTCGAGGTCGTCGTCCTGGTTTTCATGGGGAGCAATGGCCATTGCATCCTCGTTGAGATCGATCGACGGTCGGAATACCGAGTATATGCTTTCGCTTCCATCGAGATCCTGGTAACCCCGTTCCTGTACACTGATATCAGGAGTATTATCGCCCACGCATGTATCTGCTTCAGACATCGCGTCGTCCAGCTCATCCTCACGATACAATAGCATGTTGCTCTCGTATCTGACACATTGCCTGATTTTGTCTCTCAGTTGGTCCTCGAAGTATACTTCGTCACCTTCACCATCTTTTCCTTTCATGGGACAAAGATCCAACAATCCATTTCTCTCTGCCAATTGCGCCTTGAAATACCCTCCGTGCCCATACCAGCCTTCCACCGTTGCTCTTATCGCTGCAGGGCACTCATAACCTATACCCCATCCTGTGTGGGTGAGCACATCGTATAGATACTGGCGCACGACAGTGAATCCATCGTTCTCGTCCGGCAAGGGGTGTGCGGGCGTATCATCGCGGGTATCCAATCGTATAAAACTGTCAGAAGAAGGTACTCGGAACTGGCTCCAGCTCAAGGCTCGATATCGGTCTCGCGCAAGCTTCTGGGTCTTAACAAGACTGATCGGGTTGATGGGATCCGAGGATGGGCAGGGCTCTGGGTGGCGCATTGCGACGGCGGTAATTTATCGAGGCAGGAACTTGTGTAGCGGCGATCCAGACCCTAGAAGGTCTATATCTATGGGCTGAAGTGGCAATTTCGAGACTACCAGTTTGGAGATCAAGGGACGTAGCGTAAGTTTGATTCTTGCAACAACAATTTAATGGAGAGGACACATTCAGGTAGACGCTGAATTGCAGTGGGAGTTAATGTATGTTTCGTTTAGCTGCTTAAGTTTGTCACATCCAAAACTCTAATGTGGTCGTACCAGATTGATGTTGGTAAATTAAATTTTCTGGGTCGTGTATGGCCCCAGTGGAACCAATCATGGGCTTCCGCAATCTCATGGCCGTGAACGCTGGGAGCGGGTTTCAGCAATTCTCCAGAAAATGGTACCATCATATACTCCTCGAATGTCGGCCTTGCGCATCCTTCCGTCCTGTGGCCATAGCAGGATGTACATGGCTATCCCTGTTAAATGTCAGTATCGTATGCTCAGTCCGTGAGGTGATGAGCCGCAACTCACATTCTAAGGCACCCGCAAACCATCCGAAGAAATCATTCGCGCAACATTGGCCTGCCCAAACGTCGTATAGATCTCGCCCGGTCAGGTAGTCCTTGCCCCCCGCATATTTCTCGAATATCGCATCGAAGCGTCGCGTGTCCAGCTCGGCATCTAAGTCGTACGCGCCAGTGGTGCTTCCATGTCTGTTGCGGTTGACATTATCAAGGTAGATGGCAAAGAGCGGGTGCGGCAGGAAAGAACTCTGGGTGCTGTAAGATGAGCACACAGCCATGGTAACCGCTGCCCATAGACATAACGCGATGTTGAAGCCGAGTTTACGGAAGCCAATGAATATGTCCCATGGGTAGATCACTCCGTCCTGATCGGCGTCCCAGAAGTCGCAATGCCGGCGTAGCGCACTTCGTCGAGTGTTGGGCCTGCCCTGAACGTTGCGATGCGTGATCACTTTCGTGTTCCTTCTCGTTTCTATGCTTTGCTTGTCATCGTAGGATTTGGGTGTAGCGTTAGCCTCGCCGGTTCCTGTGAAGGTGCCGTTGCATATATCCCCAACTCCCGCTAGCCAGTTGATCGTCTTGAACGCGATGACATCTTCGTGTTCATCTACGAAAGTCTTAGTAGAAGCCGACAGCGACTGGTCCTGAGACTTGTCATCACCATCTTCCGCACTAACGACTTCTGGAAGTTCGGGGCCGCTAGTTGCCGGTTTGTTGCTTGTGAAGTTGAAAGTTGCCTTGGCGGATAAGATATTGAGCTGGACAGCCATTGTGTAGTCGGCTTGTAGGCAGGGACGTTGATGACCTAGAATCGCGCAAGCAAGAGAAGCAGAAGACATGCGGCTCTTGTTTGCTTCTCAAGGTAACATGTCGCAAGTACCTTGCGTCCTGCGAATTACCATCATCTGACGTATGTCTTGGCGTTCAATTTGGGATGCGATACCCATCCGTTCTTACCCTTTGTGTCACCCTTGCATCCCTCTGAGGCTGGATCTTGTTTTGCTCGTCGTCCACCGCCTGCGCCATCTCTCTTCATCTTTATCGCTACGTAAGCCCAGGGTTGGCGCAAACCGTCCAAGCAGATATTTGTGGCGTCGCCTCGGTAGAGACGCGTGTTTGTGGCGTGGCAAAGACGCGTCTCAAATGATCTGAGACGTGTTAAGGACTCGCTGCACATAAGTCATGCTTCGACTAGCGACATCATACCGACTCGATGCAAGAGCACGCGATGGACTTATGAGGATTCAGACGATGTAGCATCGAGCGCAGAGGATGCTTACCGAGAGCATGTGGAATGGCCAGCTTGTCCACAAGCTCCGGGTTTCGGCTAAGCCCCGCTCAACACATCTGAGACCCCGCTCGCCACACACTAGAGTGGTGAACTATTAGTCCATAGGACTTCGGTAGGCTGCTTTTGCGACGCGTAATTGAGGATATATATCTAATTTTTGCCGATTCTGTCATCAACACCAGAAACACGGTTGTGTAGTGTACGTCTCCTCCAACCTGTTCTCATGAAGTCTGTCTAACCGCCAATACAGGTAGTGGTTATCACTCCAGATTTTGACTTCTATCAAACTTTCTGGTAACCCCGGTTCGGTATGTCTATCGCATCCACTGCTCAATGTCACATTCTAATAATTGAACAGAACCCGGGCACGACCTCAACAATATCTTTTTTTGTCCTTGCGTTCGATTCTCATGTGGGGCAAACCACGAACATCTTTTTGCTGCTTAGCTGTGACACCCCTTGCCACCCTCTCAAATCTTTGTTTCCAATGAATTTTGATCTTGATAAATCGCTTCGTTAATGCTGGTGATATGACAATGACTCTATATGTAGCAAGTGCAACACAGTCAGAGTATTCGCACTTTTTGAGTGAAACTGTGTAACAAATACACCAATGGCTATCATACATTCACTTGTCGAAAAAACTCGACCCCATTGTGTTTTCCATAGCTGTTGGAAAGATGGTTCAATTACTGGGCACGTGCGAAAGAATACAAGCATTACAGCCAACTCATGAAACACAAAACCACCCTCAAATCAGCGCAGCCTCATGACCAGGACGATAATCATCTCTCTCGTCCTGCGGGTCAATAAGTCATTGTCCTCGCACAGTGCCACGTCGGAGGTGTGTTCCTTCCCCTCCTAGGAGAGGCGCTCTATCGCTGGATGGCCGGTACCCGCAAACGATCCTCTCTCTTCTGAACATAGCCAGGATTCGATCTCGTAGGCGTCTCCTGTAGCCCCTGCGACCCTTCGACTCCGCTATGGTCGTGACTGCAGATGGATCAGAGGTAATACACCGTGGGCCTCCCAATGGTGCAGGTGACGGCTGCGTCTCAGAGATGGTAGCACTGTATTCGTATCGGGCGTCCTCGAAGGGATTCAGTTGTGCCGGTGGATGAGGAGTCGACGAAGAGCTTTTGCCTGTTATCTCGGCCGGTCGTGTGGGCATGTATACTCCAGAGTCTTCTCGCGGGTAGATATAATGGCGTCTCCCAGGCAATGCCTCGTTTGACGTGGCTGGAAGACATGCTGGACGGTCGTCGCGTTCGACGGGGAGACGTTTCCCGGTACCCCGTACAAATCCAAGGAAAGAACGGGCTGAATTGCGATCTGAAGACATGGCGGGATCTCTTACGGCGGAGTGATCGTATCGAGTCAAGTTGAACACGAAGGCGGATTGGAGGGAATTCTTTTGAGCGAACCTAGCGTTGTTAGCATCGAATTGTGGGCGTGAACACCGGTACATACACAGTATTGATGCAAGAGAGCAATGTTGATAAGCTGTTGAAGCGGTATGATGTGGTGTGACGAATGTGATGATAGAATGTTGGGAGGCGACCTAAATGATGCCTGGACGATACTCACCCAGGTCGACATTAGAAGAAAGTCCGTCCCATGCGGAGGCATCGCGACCGCGCAATCAACGCGCTTTCCGTCGTTACCACATTGGTCATGATACAGTGCCAAGAGCCAACAAGGATCGCGAATATAGTAGTCCCTGAAAACGTTTGACGAGGACAAAGCCATGTACTTTAAAGATCGATCAAGTCCTCGGTCTCCTCTTCTTCGTCGTCGCCGCTCCAGTCCAGCTTCATCAAAAGACGGTCGATACCTCCTACTCTCAATGGCTCATAGGCACCTTCCTCCATCGTCGCTCCAATTGATGTACCAGGTGCAGAAGCTCCAATCCTGTCGCTATCAATCTCACGAAGCCGCTCTACGAGTGTCTTGAGGTCGCTGTCAAGCCTCCTCCTTGCCCGGTCCATCTCCAGGCTGACCTCGCGCTCTTCTTTCTTATAGTTTTGCGCATAGTCCTCCACACCTTCATCTTCTTCCAGATCCAGGTTCTGCTGGATCTTTGTAAGACGCTTGATGTATGCCACTAACTCGTCTACGTGGGTGCACAAGGTACGCAGCGCTTTTGTGAAGGCTTGATCGGTAAGCAGAAGCGAGTACGCGACCGAAGACAGAAAACGGCGATGTGCTGAGGCCAATGCTTCTGGATCATGCTGTTGCCGTATGCTTCCTTCTGTCGTCGACTTACGGAAGCCAGTGGCACTCAAATTGTCGGAAGCTGCTGACAACGATTCCGCGGTTGAAGGAACTTGAGGACCGGTAACCCATGCTATGAAATGACCGAAGGATTGTTGTACGACCGCACCATGAAAGTAAGCTTCGCTCTCCGCAAAAAAGAAGATAGCGGCTGCGCATGTCGCCCATATCTTCCGCATGTCCTGCGCCCGCTTCGCAGTGCGTTGTCGTCGCCGCTTCAGCATTGCTTTACCATGCGCGGAATTGCTGTATTGATGTCCAGGCGGACAAGGATGATCTCTCCGTATTGAACTGTATCGCCATAGTTCTGCTAAATGCAGATGTGCTCTCCGGACTGCGAGAAGGGAAGCATTGATCGATGAGTAAACGTCAAGGTCTGCTTTTGTTATGAAGAGGTCAAGTGGGGAACGGATATCCATCGTTAAAGACGTTGGTACAGACAGCAGTAGGTCGTCGAAAGACATGATGGCAAGTTGTGGAAGCATCGAGTCCGCGTCCTTAGCGCGGCCCGGTGTCCCAGGGCGGTTATTAGACGAGCCGTTAACGCTGAGATGTAGAAGCTGAGTTGCAACGTCCAAAACATCATCTGTGTGTTCGTCCTCGCTAGATAAGGTGGACAGAACGGAGAAGGACCGTGCGAGGACCTGGCTAATCTCCGCTTCCTTGATCACAACTGCCTTGACAGATTGGCCAGACTTGGTGGGCTGCGACCCTTTATGTCGAGATAATATCTTATCGTCTGCTTCTGCAATCAGTGTCAGGGCGAACTCTCCTCTTCCTAGCAAGAAGAATTGATGTAGAACCGTCAATGTCTCAACAATCTTCTCACGAGGTAACAAGTGTTGTAGAAGATTCCGAGACAGCGAGAGGCGGATGTTGGCAATTGCCTCCGAGAGCATGGCCGTTGACACCGGTGCACTCACTCGAGAGAGTTGTTGAACGTGCTTAGGAAGTAGGTCAAGTTCCGAGACCGAGTTGGATGTGTCTAACGCCTTCACGGCTGACGGCAATGCGCGGATCTGATTTAGCGATCGTCCGACGAACAGGATAGAGAGAGCCGTTTGCCTTGTGACAAACTTTGGTAGCAGCTTGTTCTGAAGGACGAAGACTTGCTCATCTGCATCCTCATCACCTTGCTGGATGAAGAAGTCGGAACGACCAAACGATGGAAGGCGGCCGTACAGCAGCCAGGTTGATAGCTGCCGTAGCCACGATGTTTCTGCGACTTTGCTCAGACCCCGGGCAGTCTCTTCAATGTCCGGATAGCCTGTCTGTGCCTCGCTTCGCAGCTTGTCAATGACGGCAGCTCCAGAGGCAGCCTTTCCAATCATCATTTCGAACTTCGCAGGGACGTCCGAAGGCAACATGTAGTTGCTGATATCCCGTAGCCATTCCATCACCCTGGTCCATTCCGAGAACTCGCTCACTATCCCAGCCAGTGGTACGATATTGTATGCACCCACGATGGAAGCATCTTGTTTCAAGACACGGCTTTCGACTTCCAGTACCTTGCATTGGAACCGTTCGAGATGGTAAGAGGTAATCGAAGTAGCGACCGCCCTGCAGATGACTGAGGGATGTGACGCGGCGATTCTAGCGACATGATCGCGTGTGCTTCGATGCAGACGCGACAGATGACCGATTGAAGATAGCAGCTCTGCTTCGGGCGGTGACAGTAGGCGACGCGCAGTTGCTGTCACGTGGTCCGGGGCATCGAACAGCGCCGATGGGTGTCCGGAGAGTGAGAGGAGGATTTCGTGGAGCATGGTCGCGGCGCTGACAGGTCGCTGGGTGCGCGGAACCGTTTCTTCCGTGCCGCCAGTCGCTCGAAAAAAACAATGATCAAGCTCAAGAGCTCGAAGCGACACATTGAACGCGTCGCGCTGCGCGCATTGCTCGATGTGGAGGGAATGAGTGGGCTCGGATTGTCAACAAGTGCCCGCGCTAGCGGCAAGCTCATGCGCCGGGCGTGAGCCAACCCATGCAGGGAGGGGTGATCCGACTCTTTAACAGACAATACCACGTCATGCATCTACAGATTGCACGCCAATATCGACCACCATTTCCTGTGCGCAGAACAAAAAAGAAGTGAATTTCGTTCATCTGGCGAAGCAGCCCTCAGCTGTCTGGCAGCACCAGCGCATCGCGGCTGTCCAGTGGATCCATCTCGTCTCTCAACCTGGGCTTTTCGGGCACACACAAGATGGGTCGTACCAACACAAGTACGAATGCAGATCTTACTACAGGCAACGTAGTTAATTGATTTCCAAGGAACCCAGGGGTCTGACGTCCATTGAAACATTCCTAGTCCCCCACAGGGAGTTCTACACAAAGGCAGTCGTGCAGCCGTGCGATACATCTGACTATTGGTTTCACGAGACTGTTGTGCATTGATACTGTTCTTGTGACAGAAGCTTCGACAAGAACCGAGGAGATTAACTCAAGAAGGAATACGGCTCACACATCTCCTAATGCATCAGACTGCTTCTGATCGATCACATCGCATCATCACAACTGTTCAGACAATGGGTTTGCTTCCGATAGGTTGTTTCCTCACGGGTGCAACAACACGATGCACTGCTACATCCGTTTGGTGCGAGTACCATCAGTGTGACCTTTCCCCTCGAAGATCAATGTTAACAGTCACCATATCAGGGCGCGCTGGCAAGGACTACACCTGAACTCTTCTCTAGTCCTCTATCTTCTCGAAGCTCTTTTTGATCATCCGGCAGCATGAACGCTCTCGATTTCTTAGTCGACTTTGCAGCCCAGGTTAGCACATCAGAAGCTTCAAGACCAGGTTTTGATGGGGGAAACGTCAACCACAAACTCGATACTACGCGCATCAAAGCACAATCTGCATCAGATATGCGCATCCCCATCTCGGAGGAATCCTTTCATGTCGACGGAAGGCGACCTGTGGAGACAATCCAACTCCAGTCCAGCATGGCACCATCTTCATCGCAGCAGACCTTCCCAGCCCACGTGGTAAACCACCCGTCCTTGACCGCCCACCGCCACGACCCATACGAGGGGTCCCTCGCAATTTCTCCAGTGCCTCGCATGGTTCAATCTTTCGATCAATTCCTATATGAGCATCCGGGCCTTGGTCTTCCTCGAGTGACTCCCGATGAGATGGGTTACGACTGTTGCGACTGCGAGAGACTCCACGATTGGGGTTTGGGCTACGAGGCGAACTATTCGCTACCTGCAGAGCCAACATCATGGCTTCACGTTCAGCCACAATATTACGTACCGAATCACGATGCGAGGTATTTGGAAACCCAGTACACGCTACCAGCGCAAGCAGTGTCAACGCAGCCATCGCAGTGTATGAACGCAAATTGCCATTGCCAATACCCTCGGCCCCATGATTCTGTTGATAGTAACATCCCCGCGTCTTCAACGCATATCTGTGGGCCTCACGCATATATTCACGATAAGAACACCTCGAAAGACGATGACGAGTGGCTGTGGGTGAGCGCTGGAAGAGATAACGAAATGAGCCAGTTTTGAAGGCTGTGAATCAAGCAACGGTGATTCAGTTACCCTAAATCGTTTTGGACCTTTGAATGTAAGGTTCCTTAAGTATGTAGTTGTGTAGTAGGACTCTCATGGCCTGCGATGATGGAATTTGATGACGTCGCTTTGTGATATTGATCTTCTCTGTCATGTCGTATTACATCTCTCCCGAGGCACTTCATTAAATTTAACTGCGGGTTGGTAGTTAGCATTCCAGAGACACCATGTCACTCTGCTCAGATCACCCTCATGTTTTCACAAACAGTGTATCACGCGATATCGCAGCGTGAATCCAGAGTTTGCACATGTCTCGTAGCATAAAAGCTGACATCGCCCCCCAGCCAGACCTCCCTCCTCTTCAATCCGAGCTTGTCCATCTCTTCCTATCATGGCAGACAATCAGATTACGCTCGACGTATCCGGTCGCAAATTTCGCACGTCTAAATCAGTCCTCTCGGTCTCGCCTTATTTTGAGGGTCTACTCACTCGCTGGCAAGACGGCGCGGACCTCCAGGCCGACGGCTCGTACTACGTCGACGCGGATGCGCATACATTCGAGCATCTACTCAGCTTTATGCGTCGGCCTTCCAGGTTTCCGCTCTACTGGACGAGGAAAGACGGCTTCGACTATCCTCTCTACAGCCGGGTCGAGGCAGAGGCGGATTACTTCATGTTGGAGGGGCTGCGGGATTGGATCAAGCAGCGCAAGTACCTGCAAGCAGTGGTGACAGTCTCACGTACCGACAGTGCTATGAAAGACCAGAGACTAGTTGGCGATGTAGTTATCGAGAAATATGTCGTCAGGAAGGCTGGGCATGTTCTCTGCCCATTGGCATGGCACCATGACGTCAGGAATGACTGTTGGCGCGACGAAGACTGCAGAAAAGCGATGATGGCCAATGGGTTGCCAATGAGCAGCGCACAAGATGAGCTCCTCGTCGCCGTCACGGAGTTCCACTTCAACAATGAGATCTTGGTCAATGACAGTCTATAAAGCTATTGGGCACTAGGCAGTGCAACATGGAAAACCTTGGGTCAAAGAACTGCACCCTGGCGTTCATCTCTTTCGCCGATATCTCTTTTAGCTCTCAAGGTTGAGTGGACATTATGTTCTCTACTAGCGGATCACAGACGTGGCTGCTCGCGTCGAGATCAGGCCTTCGTTATGACGTCGACATTAAAGTTTGCGCATAGCACCTCGAGCCACGATAATGTTCCCAAGAAATAAACAAAATGCGCAAAACATTGCTAAATGCATCCCCGCTCAGGTTCAAAAGTGACAAATCAGTGTAGTTGTGGATCCTCGCGGATGTAGTCTTTTCCATGCGCAATGATGTACAAGCGCCACATGTTAGCGTCAACGATATCCATCGATACATTTGATGAACGGTCAAGGATCTACCTGCAGCCTCCATCTACATCCTGCTATAGCAATTTATACATAAATGTACGTACAATCAGCAGGGAATCTCCAAGTAAACAGAATCTGTTCACCCGATAACATGGCGACCCAATCCGCAATCAACTGGCCATCGCACTTCCTCCCGGGCACAACCGACAACTTCGTCTCCAACGAGCGCATCGCCAAAGACCTTACCAGCACACAAATCTGGGCCCTACTAGCCAACATCTCAAAATGGGAGTCCTACTACAAGAATTGCGCTCAAATCACTCCTCCGTCATCCGACAGCACCTTCCTGCACAAAGGCGACGTCTTCAAATTCAGCACTTTCGGTTCCCCCCCGCTGACCTGCACGGTCGAGGAGTCGGAGCAGCCGGAGAGTAACGGGCGCGCGGGCAGGTTGGCGTGGAGCTCCAAGACGCCAGATGGGCTGGAGATTTATCATGCGTGGGTTGTAGAGGATCTGGAGGGGCAGAGGGTGAGGATCTTGACGCAGGAGAGTCAGATTGGGCAGATTTTCAAGGACTGGGAGGAGCAGAAGCCGAACAAGATGCTCCTAGGACACCAAGATTGGCTGGATGGCCTGATCACTGCAGCGAGTGGCAAGCAGGTTGGAGGAACAAATCTTGAAGCCGTCAACTTTCCGGTGAGGCAATTAGATGCATAGTCCTATATTTCCAAGCAGAAGAACAGTAGTTCGCCATCACAAGAACAGCAGGGTAAAGCAGTATGAAGTTTCAGAAGTATTATTAGCAGTACACGAAATCCTCTATCGTCATCCCAATTTCCGCATCCACGAGGTCATGGCCCGTCGTAGCTGTCAATACCCATACTCGCGTCCTGACGCCGGTCATGGCAAGGAGATGAACGAAGGTCTAAGGAAAGAAAAACATGCTGACCCCGAAAGTGATGTCGCGCCAAAGCAAGAAATGAGGACTTGGAGTCCAGTGGAAGAAAGATCGGGAGTACACTGCCTCCCAAGAAAAGCGACCCTGTGATCCACTCAAACCGTTGTGGTACAAGATGCCGCGATATATACTGCTGTTGAAGAGGAAGAAGGGTGAAATGGTGTGCTGCGATGAGAACAGTACGTAGAGTGACCAGGTGAAGCACTTCGAAGAGTTATCAGACAGTCCTGTACATGTGCGGCGACAGTGGTCGAACGAGAAGGACATTCCTTGTAGCAGTGGTTGAAGCTAACGAGGGAGACTGTGGACGACACTTAAGCCGTTGCAACCTTAGCCCAAGTTGTAGCTGTGTGAGCTGGGGATGAGCGAGGAGCATTGTTGTTGCTGGTGGACCAAGTCTTGGGAGCAGACGGGCGCGAAGAGCTGTTGTTGTAGGAACGATCTGTCTGACTTTGGTGCGAGGGCTTGCGCGGGCGGTCCTTCGCACTGTTGGTAGAAGTGGTGCTCGGCGTACCAGTCGCTTTGGGTTTCGGTTGCCTGTTGAGTTTTGGACCGTAGTGCTTCCTCTGCACTGACTTGGTGACAGGCTGACGCATGTTTGCGAGGCGCACAACGACGTCGAACTTAAGCCTGTTCTGTGTGGTCTTCTCAATGTCGAACGCCTCTAGGCGGCGAATGGTGAATGGGTTCTCCAACTTCTTGTGCCTAGGGTGCTGCTCATCTCTAGGCGCGGCCTTGGGTGGCTGATTGGCTGCGAGGTGCGGAACCTTGGACAGTTTGACAGTGGGCAGCGAACCGAATTCCCTGTCTTCGAACAGAGCCTCAGTGTCACCGCGAGTGACAGCATCTGCACCACGATCATCTGCAAAGATTCTCGCCTGGGATGCGCTGGGCAATGACACGGTTGCAGGACCAGTATTTCCTCGAACGTCTAGCGAAGCCTTGGACAAGGCAGCCGGAGCGACCGCGCCTTGCTGTGGAGTAGCGACCGGCAGCATTGGAGACGTGCTTGGGAGGGTTGATGAACGGTTGGAACCTGGCTTGTCGAGGAGCTTGTTAAACCTTGCCTGCCACTCCGGGTTCATTGCGAGAGGTCTGGCGCCTAGAGCTTGACCGCGCGACGGCATGTTTACGTGAGAAGCAGCGGAGGTCCCGTTACCAGCTGCCGAAGGTGGAAGTCGCACGACAGGCGAGGGCTTCGGAAGCCTCACCAATGGGTGACCGGCTTCACTGCTGAAAGCAGGGTGTGTCTCTGTCTCGGGAGGCGGAGGAGGCGAGTCTGCTTTGCTTGACACAAAGGTCGACGGAGACGCCGTCGCCTCTGTTGAGGTCTCAGTCGGACGAGGGAAGAAGCGCGATGCGCGAGGACCAGTAGCCTGCTGGAGAGGGCCTTGAGTCAGACCTTGCTGAGGCGACGAACCTTCAACCAAAGGCTTCGTAGTATCGTCCTTTTTCAATGCCTCGGCAAGAGCCAGTTCGGCGGCGACCTTGTCATGCAGCGTCACTTGTGCTTGCCCACGTTGATCTTTGTATACCTCTCGAAGCTCGGGACGGAATTCGCCCTGGCGTTCTCGATCTTGAGCATTCTTCGCTGCGAGGTCCTGGTCATCCTTTTTGATAAGTTCACCAAATGTATCCCAACCGCCGCCAGTGACGTTCCTTGGGGGTGGTCTAGCCGCCCTAGCCGCCGCAGCGTTTTGGGTGCGCGAGGATCGCTGCGAGTACATTGGTTGGGATGGAGGCATCTGTCTTGTTGAGTGTGATGTCAAGGCCTGAGGAGCTAGGCCTGTGCCAATGGGAGCTGTCGCGGCAGGTGGCTGAACAGGAAGTTGCTGCTGGGCACCGGGGCGAGACTGGCCTCTGTAATCAGAGTCGAAGGTACCGTTACCAAGAGCTCGATCTTTTGCGCCGGGAGGACCCCAAACTTGTGATGTCCAAGGTCTGGGTTGAGGTGCTGTAGAAGAAGACTGCGACCAGGTCGTAGGTGCCTGCGGCCTAGGCCCAGAAGGGATAGCGCCGTCTGATTGGTGAGCGATCGCTTGAGATTGTTCAGTTGACAGCCGAGACTTTTCGTTGTCACGAGTGAAGGCGTCAAACGGCGGCGTCGATTGCTGGCTAAGTGATGAAGGAGCAGTCACTGGTGAGGGATTTACTTGAGCATGGCTCGCCTGAGGCGATCTTTTCACCGGGTGAGACTGATGGACCTTCATCATCCCATACTGTGTAACCTCACCCTCGGCAGTCGGGACAGGTGGTTTTGGCGGTGATTGCAATGGCGCAGGAGCAGCCTTGTCTTTCTGTGGGGACTGCTCGGGGCGTGTAGGCGACTGATCCTTGTTTTTGGGCTTGGGTTCAGGCGGTCCCATAGCGGCCAACTTCTTAGCAAGACGTTCTTTCCTCTCTGCCTCTGCCTGCTTCTCGGCTTCCGCATCCTGCTGTTTCTTGAGACGAGCGCGCTCGATCTTCTCAGCCATCAAACGTTTCTGTACCTCGACTGGGTTCTCTGCCGGTGGTGCTGGTGTAGGCGCGGGTGCATCTTGTACAGCTGAGGTTACTGAGCCATAGGGTGAAGCCGGGTGTGCATGAGGAACGTTCGGAGACTTCATCTGCTGGAATGGCGACTGTCTGGAAGCTGCAGGATCCGAAGGGTCCACACCGTTGATCGAGTGCGATTCGCGTCGCTCCATGTTCATGGGACCAGTAGGCATGTCTACTCCCCGTGGGTCCATCGACATGCGCCTAGGCATAGTTCCACTAACGTTGGACGAGTTCCTCCTCCTGCCCCAAGTAGGACCATCCGCGCTTGCCCTTGACGTCTGGAACGCCGCTGAGGGCTCTGCTGGGCCGCCGTCCTGAGAAGGCCTCTGTAACACAGCGGACGGCTGCTGCCGGTAACCACCACCAGCATCTCGTCCAGAACCCCGCCGCATGTCATTGTGTACAGGCTCATAACGACCACTCTGCGAATTAAACAATTCCCGGCCGTCTCGAGTATCTCGGCCGCCGCTTTCGTTGCGCCAGTTGCGATTAAAATCATCTGGGGCGATCTCCTTCGCGGGAGGTGGGGGCATGGAGTCGTAACCATAGGAATCACGCTGTGAGTAGCGCTGTGGGGGCGGTTGCTGCGCAGGGGGATTGATTTGGATCGGCGACACCTTCTCGACTGGAGGCAGGGGCGCCCATGGTGACTTCTTCTCGGTTGCTGATGGCTTGGCCACTAGAGTTGGTCTCTCTGGCTGACCCTTGAGGACCAGACTTGACTTTCCAGTAGTGGGCTGCGTGTGCGCACCAGGCTTCAAGATAGTTTTGGCACCACCAGTGACGCTCAATTTGGGCGCGTTCGTAGCTGGAGCCGGGGACGTAGTAGGCTTGGGTGCTTCAGCGGGCGTCTCAGGCTTGAGAATAGTCTTGGGCTCTTCGGCGGGCGGTGGCTGCGTCTCCGGTGGCACCGCAACCGAGGACTTGGTTCCATCCATCCATTGTACTGCTTCCGGGGTCCAGTCTTCCTCATCATCGTCAATGTCTGCCCACTTGGCCTCCTTGCCTCCTTCGTCTGCCTGTAGGCGTGTTGCAAGATGTATACCGTACTGCTGCTTCAGTTCTTCGTCGGTGAAGGTTTTGGGCGGGGGAGTTGGGACGGGCTGGTTCTTATTCCAGACTTTTCTCGCATCTGGACCTGCACCT